CTTATAGGATTTTATGGATGTAAAAATGAAGCATAACAGCTTTACAACAGTCCACTAAAAATATTGTTATCCCATTACCAACATAGGATTTCAATCTAAAGAGATACACATTAAAACTCCACAAAAACAATACCGTAAGCACTGTACAATCAAAGGATTTCTAAGGAGGTCAGTATCTGCTAATAAAATGAGGTTACCAAGCAATTGTACGATAGTATCCAATGAGTCTTCACATACGATTTTGTCATTTGATTTCAATCACAGGCTAGTTTGAGGAACAAAGATATCAAAACGGCCAAATTGTAGTCTGTCATGTAATTTTCTATTACAAGCAACACTAGACACAAATATAATCATTCTGACAGAAATAAAAAAAACTGTTTGATCAATAATGTTCAGTTCTATTGTTTTATATATGTAACAACTAGAAAACAACTGAAACATACATTCTAATGTTTTTTTCCTATTGTTTTCAGGTAGATCTCTTGCCTATTTTTGTTGCCGTTTTGTTAATGACAATATATTTTTTTATATTTTAAAATCATACACACTACACATTATTTGTGCTGGAAACAAGTGAGATTCCAAATACAAGGCGAGCATGGAAAATATTTTCTTTCGATTGCATTTTACTCCGAACAAGATTTAACATATTAGCATTTTGAGTGGTATCATATTTTTATAGAAGAAAAATTCACAGTAGAGATACCTTAAGAAATACGACAGGATCAGTTTGATATATGTAACAACTAGAAAACAACTGAAACATACATTTTAATGTTTTTTTTTCTATTGTTTTCAGGTAGATCTCTTGCCTGTTTTTGTTGCCGTTTTGTTAATGACAATATATTTTTTTATATTTTAAAATCATACACACTACACATTATTTGTGCTGGAAACAAGTGAGATTCCAAATACAAGGCGAGCATGGAAAATATTTTCTTTCGATTGCATTTTACTCCGAACAAGATTTAACATATTAGCATTTTGAGTGGTATCATATTTTTATAGAAGAAAAATTCACAGTAGAGATACCTTAAGAAATACGACAGGATCAGTTTGGATTAATTATGACAACTGCATTTTTATATTTTTAGCATTTAGCCTAACACACCACATTAATGCAAGTATCTCTATGTGTTAAATATCCTTGCTAATGAATATACAATTATATATAAAACAAACTGTTCAACTTCAAAGAACAGAAACACAGGATTTCTATTGCAAATTTGTAAATATTTCTTCAAAACAAGATACAAACATGTTTGCCTAGCATCAGACTGTCACAAATAAACTTCCTGTGCTCTTTTTTTCAATTTCCTGCTGCTCAGTGATCCAGCAGCATTTAAGATAGAAATTAGGAATTTCTTGCAAATTTCACGTTTACAGCAACTTGCTTTGAACATATCGCATCAGTCCAGCACTGATGGTGTGAGGTTTCTGTGAGGAGAGAAATGTACTTTTGCCATATGACCTTTCTAAGGTTATTCACGATAGCTAAATAGACAAACTGAAAGATATGTTAGAAGCCCCACATTGCCAAAAGGCCTTGATAGCCACTTTTTCAGTTAAAGGTCTCTTTTTCTAAAGCCTTAAATAGTCCAAAAAATACAGAGGTTCACTGTATTGCTTGGTCACCGATTTTTCGCCAGTTTGTCTCTATAAGTAGAGGTTGTGATGATTGGTGCCTGAGGCACCATCCTTGACAGTGAGACCTGGGCTCTTAAACTATGAATGAAATGCATTATTGTAATAACCAACAAGGAAAGAAATGAGTCTTTTAAAATGCTATGCATCCTGGTCATTAGTGTTAGCTGCTTCACAGCACAGAGGTGTTAGAAAGGCAAGTTACTCGCATTACAAATTGAGAAACACTACCCTACAATGCCCTACCATTTCACAACACCACACACACACACACACACACACACTAAAAGAAATCTTGGCAAAACTGGACTATAAAACTCTTAGCAAACTTATATATAACAAGACAGTTGCAACATTAGATTCAACTACCAAATGCTCCAAACATCGTTTTTCAGTCTTTACAATCACTGAGGTCAGCGTTCAGATTTTTCAAAATATCAAGTCAATTCCAAACATGCGGAAAGAAACAAACTAATGAGACTGAAGACAAAACTGAAAATATGCAATAGCAATTTGATTATGCAACTGTTGTACTGAACGAGCTGTGGACCACAGGCTGACAATTTAGGACTCATTGTGTGGTACTTTCTGCATTAACCTAACATTTCATTCATCACCACAAGTTATTTGCTTCATTTTCAGTTGTAGGCTGTCATTTGGTTGATGACAGAGGTGAGATTACAGTCGACTTGTACTTGACTTAACATGATTTGAGTTCATTGTCAGTTCTTGTACGATAATAAAATGCTCCATCACACTGAAAATGAGTGAGAAGTCTACCGAAACCGAATGAAAACCCACACATTCACATATTAAGCAACTTAAGTGAGCGTTTCGCTGCTCAGTGCGCTCATATGTATAAAGGCCTGTATGCGTTATTTGCTTCATTTTCAGTTGTAGGCTGTCATTTGGTTGATGACAGAGGTGAGATTACAGTCGACTTGTACTTGACAACATGATTTGAGTTCATTGTCAGTTCTTGTACGATAATAAAATGCTCCATCACACTGAAAATGAGTGAGAAGTCTACCGAAACCGAATGAAAACCCACACATTCACATATTAAGCAACTTAAGTGAGCGTTTCGCTGCTCAGTGCGCTCATATGTATAAAGGCCTGTATGCTCGTTTATACCTTTATTTATGCTGTGCCACAATGCATTGCAGTTTATATAGCAATAAACTTAATAGCAAACAAAATTCTCATAACAGAGTTGACATTCAAGAATCCAGACACGACAGGTTAAACTGAAAAGAAAATGACGATAAATTTGGAACCTGCTGGAGTTCATTTGTGGTGAGGCTACTTCGGCTGTAAAATCACCTTCACGGAAAACAATTTCATGATTTCAGTTTGAACTTAAACTTAAAATTAATTGTTTTAGACACTGCACACAAGTCTGAAAGTCACTAAAAGTAGGTATATATAGTTTCTTCTTTTGAAATGTAATTCCAAAAAAAAAAAAAACCTAAACACGCATATGCATTCAAGAATCCAGACACGACAGGTTAAACTGAAAAGAACATGACGATAAATTTGGAACCTGCTGGAGTTCATTTGGGGTGAGGCTACTTCGGCTGTAAAATCGCCTTAACGGAAAACAATTTCATGATTTAAGTTTGAACTTAAACTTAAAATTAATTGTTTAAACACTGCACACAAGTCTGAAAGTCACTAAAAGTAGGTATATATAGTTTCTTCTTTTGAAATGTAATTCCAAAAAAAAAAAAACCTAAATGCATGTAAAATCAACGTTGTAATTTACAAAAAAGATTCACGTTATTAACTTTTATTATCACTATATACGGAGGCTCTGCCTCTACAGAACCTCAAAATAATACGCCATTTACTTCCTGTGCAGAAATAACTTACTTTTTTTATTTCGACCTTTATATTTTACTCCATCTGTGGGCATCTTTTTTGTATTAATTTTATATATCTATATATGAATTATAGGCTAATTTGGCAACTTGTCTTTACCTTTTCTTTTTCTTTTTTTTTAATAAATATTTTGGCAAGGTTAAGTAAGATATTTACAGATTAGGAATAGTCACCGACGTCTCACCAATACAAGATCATGAGGTACAACAGATAAAGCTCACAATTTTAGCCTTGCATGCAAAACTTGATCAATCCAAATCCCTCTTTTTCCTATCATTCTTAAAAATAGTGGTGTTTTTCCACTCAGTTGTTTCTATGCAATTGCTGCTGCTATCAATTTAATGATTCACACGAGCTAAATCAAATTTAGCCTAACTTATTAATGAACCGCAAATGCATAGGGCCTATTTCTCAAATGTATTTCAGAGTTACTAAATAACTATGGAATTGTGTCAGTGATTGATTTTTAATTTTTCAATTTCATTTTAAACTTTTCAGTGAAAAATAACATTTTCTAATATGCGCACACATTTTTGTTAGTCTACCTAATTCATATTTTTATATGCGTCCTGAGCCAAAGGTTAATTCCTAGTTTAACTAATTTCTAGTTAGAGAAAATAATGTAACTGTGGATTTAATAATTACAGTAATCTAAATATTTATATATAGGCTATATAAATAATTTCTTATGGTTAAATAATTAAAATGTATTTAACCATAAGAATTAACCATTTATATAGATCATAACATTCTAAGGATTCATATGACGTCAGTTTCAAGTGTAGTGGACTCGAAGCTTGCAGTGCGTGGCACGAGTGGGTGCACTCTACTATAGCAGAGAATTCAGCTGTGCCTTGCGTAAACGCTACGTCACAGCTCTCCGGCGCCCCGGAATTTATTTACTTATTTTCACTGCATGAATGAGAGGCACCCAAACAACTGGCCTGTGGACTGATTTTCACCAGCACGAAAGATTTTGAAAACAAAATAATAATAATAATAATAATAAATCATCCCGCTAATACGAACAACAAACGATAGGCTACATTTGATATAAATAAAGGCTTTAATCGCCGTCCAAATTAAAATCTCACGTAGGCTGAAGGAAGTTAAATTCTATTGTGTGCAAAATTCTACATTCATTTATATGATGAAAGATTTTGAAAATGAATTCATCTTGATGGACCCCAGTGTCAAAATCAGTGTTTGTGTACAGCAAACAATGAAATATAATGAAAACATCAGGCTACGGTAGAATATTTTATAACGTTACTTTTGGCACAAATAATCAAACCGTACGATTTATCGAGTTATTCTGTCCTGACAATTCTAACATGAACTGATTTTGTGTTTGAACAAAATTAAGCAAAACACTCCGGAAAAGGTTCAGAGACTATTTCGTATGTTTGAATCCTGTCATTATTACTATCATCATCATCATTATTATTATTATTTGTATTAATTATTATTAACTAACCTGTATGCGTTCTCTTGTGTATCTTCAGGTTCTCGGATCTGGCAAAAACTTTTTCACATCCATGAAAAGGGCAGGGAAAGGGCTTTTCTCCAGTGTGCACTCTTACGTGGTTGGCGAGCTTGTATTTGGCTTTGAAAGGCTTTCTGTCTCTTGAGCAGTTCTCCCAGTGACAAACGTAGTCGGAGTGCTCCGGTCCTCCGACATGCTCAACCGTCACATGGGTGACGAGTTCATACATGGTCCCAAAACTCCTGGCGCAGGGCGGCTTGCCAGTGCCTTCTTGGCCGTCACTCCACTTGCACACCAGCTCGTGCTTTGGGTTCTGCCTGGAGCACCTGAGGAAGGCGTCACCCCCTCCTCGCTGCATGGCCATATTCAGAGGCTTATAGAACTCCAAGAACTGGGTGACTAGCTGCTGGCTGTTGGCCCTGGGGCCATTGACCGACTGCCCATACGGGTGCGTTCGTGAGAGAAGATCTCCTGGAAGACCCAACATCATTTGGCTGCTGAGATCTCTGGTTGCGTCTGACGAGCCATGGGCCTGCTCTTGATACGTGTTGAAGAACACGTGGCCCCTGCCATCCCTATAGCTGTGGAGGTCACGGTACCTTCCAATATTGCCATGCTGGTTAGGTCTTGGAGCCAGCTGATCAGTTACTGGTGGCATGCCTGCTGCTGACAGATTTGTCCCAATGATAATGCCCCTAGGACTGGGTTCTAAGCGATGACTGGTGTATCCAGTGTCTGGAAAATGGGTAACCGAGTGGTCAACATATGCACTGGCCCTCGTCTCGTGGTAGTCTCGCAAATTTTGCGAGGGGCAGAGTTTTAAGGAACTGCCAGTGGGGTGCCCCGTGTGCTCCTCTGCCAAAGGTGGCAGCACCATGCTGGGTTCAGTATTTCTCTCCCCAGGGTTGACGCAAGAAAGAGGGCAGCCACTAAACCGCGACAGGCTTGTCATGTTTTGTTGCAAGCTTGGCTGAGGGCTGGTCAAATCAACCAACCTTTAACGTTTACGATTTACCTACAAAACTCGTCCCCATTTCCCCCGCTGTATCATCTGCATGTGCAGTTATTGCCTGTAAACCTCTCAGACGCAGGAATCGGACCCAGGTTCGTTAAGATTGGTGTGAGTCCCATGCCGTTCACTTTTCCCTCTTGATTTGTGGCAATAACCGTGGTAGTAAAATGCTCCGAACCAGGCCATACTGCAATATAAAAGCACAGCAGGCAAACCAGCATTTAAAAAACGGTGCTTTGGGATTGGTCGGAACGCGCGATGATTGACAGTCCCTGGATTTGTTTTAAAAGGGACACGCAGGCGTTCACCACACGACTCCGTTTTCAAATATCTCAGTGAAAATGCTTTGATATGTGCCGCTAGCGCACTGCCAGATATGGGCTGTTCTGTGACTTTAGAGTGCCGAATGCGATACTGTTGGCTAAAATATCGAAGTGTTTAAGTGTCATGTATATGAATTATTAGAAAGTCTGTTCTATGAATGCTGTGCAACAGTGTGATTTCAACATCGAATAGAAATAACCGGAGTTAAGCAACGAAATCAAGATTCTCTTTCAAGCCACAAGTCTGTCGCATTCAGGCAACTCTGAACTCTGAATGTGAATGTTTCACTATTTATTATTGTGGTTTAACTTTAATTCAACTGAATATATTTTGGTGATACTCGGCCCAGTATAATGGTGTTGTTGGTAAACACATTTTTTATTTTTATTTATTTGTTTAATTAAATTTATTTTGGTGTTTAACCACCAAAATATACTACAGCCTAAATATAATATAACCAGTGGAACGCATGTAATTTGAGTTGCAAGCTAAGTTACATATTACACTTATTTTGCTAAAGTTTAACGTGACAGAACCTTTTGCTTCACTGTGTTTGATATTTCTCATGCAAACAGTTAGGAAAATATTATTTGTTATTATTTATATAAATTACATAATATTTGCTATAAAACACTAAAGAACATGGAAATTCGGGGGCACTGCTTGATTATAATGCACTTAGAAAATATCCCATCTTGTAAAGTATCCTTCCGCATGTGTTGGTCGGTTAGTTAGTTTGTTTGGTAAAGGTGACATTAATTTTATTGGATATGCTTAGGCGTGCATTTTTATCAAATATTTTTATTGAGTTGCAAATCGGAGATAAAATAAACAATAATTTTATTCAATTTCCAAAATGAATATGTAAATTAAATACATTCATAAAAATATCTAATTAATAAATATAAAATACATATACAAAAATGAGCCACAATAAAAGATTACCGAGTTACCTCAATATCGCATAATTGCTAAATATAACGTTATTTGGACATGGAATATTCAAGGGTTAATAGACTTCTGACTTTCGAGGTTACAAGAATGATAGCAAGTTTCACACATTTAACCTTTACAATCCTATGATGACCTGGTGTCAATTTAGAAAATGTATTTACTTGTTTTGAATTATTTTGCACCTGTCGATATTAAACGGACAAACATTAAAACAGGTTTGTGGTGTAATCTCGCCACTGTCACTGGTCACTGTAAAAAGTGTGACACAGCATCATAGTGTGGACAGTCAAATTTAATACCTGTTTTTTTTTTAAAGGGCCAATTCAAACGTTTAAATAACCACACAAAATGTTGACATATTAAGAACAGAATATAATTATGTGAATTATGTTTTAGAAACTAAAAAACAACTTGCACAACTTTTATACCAGGAATATTGATCACTTACAGCAATTTGAATTTAAGAAAGTGATTAATGTATTTCTTCTGAAGACTGTCTCCCCCCATTGGGTGGGCACAAACTTGGGCTATTTAATAATATAATTCTTCCCACACATGAAGTTCTTGGATAGAGCAAACATTACAAGAAAATATTTACTGAGGTTACAGTAACTGTATTCCCAATAGTCATAATTAACAGTCAAAAAGCACCATTCTCACTACATTAACAGTCATATCAAACATACTATAAGAAAAAAGAAACCAGAAGTGGCAAAGAATAAATACTTTTATATATAAGTCGCAATGCAGTTTTCAGATAAATCTCCCTGACCACGATATCCAACACCATAACAGAGAATACAGAACAATCAGTGGCAGATAATATTTTGTAAAACAAAAGTCTCTTCTCCCACACCACACAGCAAATCTTCCTGATTCATTTCTTTCTTCTTTATTTCTTCAGTACTGGAAAAGACGAAAGGCATTTCTACACATATTCTGTTAATATACAACTTACAATATTAAAGATTGCCAATAAATGGGTTGGTACAATAATAATTAGAGAGAGAGAGAGAGAGAGAGAGAGAGAGAGCACAAATGTATGATATAGGACACTGAATATGTCTTTTTGTGTTATATCAATTCAAGTAATGGTCACTAAAAATATCTAATGACATATCTATAGTTCACAAATGTCACAGACTTGTCTTTGGGACCTACAGTGCACAGACTAAATAATGTCAACAGAGACTAATATAAATTCAATTCATATACAGTCAAAGTGGTACCACAGTGGTTTGAAGATTTCTTAAGATAACTTAATTGAAAGGTAAAATTATATATGCTCTATACTAGGGCTGCACGATTAATCGCATGCGATATTTAACGCGCATTTCTAAATATACCGTAAGCCAAAATGTAAACTGCCTCTCATTCTTGCATACCTGCATTATGCTAACGTTGTACAATTACAAATTCAGTGTAGTCCTATCTTCATTTCCATCCAATATTTCCATATCAAGACAACAATAAAGCCATACATTGCTTGTGAGCATGTCAAAATTAAATTAAATTAAATTAAATTTGGTAATAAATTCTGGCTGAATATATTTGGTCTAATATATTAGGCTGAAAACTACAGAAAAACTTTTCTTCATTGCAGTGAACTTAGCGGGCGTTCACTTTACAAGTTAAGGGCTAAATGTCGGTAAATTTAAATGAGCAAACTAAATGGAAAATAAAGAAAAACTGAGTGAGATATAAGCAGGAAAAAAGCACCAAACACAAGGACTCTACACTCCTTTTTAGCACTCGGCAGAGCACAATAGTCTATCCTGGCAACAGCAGTTTGCATTCACTAATAGGCAGATGCGTAACGCCTCGACAAATTTAATTTCCAGTAATTTATGCTAAACATAGTTAACAAATTTTATATAGACACATGTTAATTGAAGGTGCCACAGTTATCTCATTACTCAATACTGATTAAGTGTTTGAGATAAACAGACCCACTCCTTGACCAAGCTGGTAGAAAGCAGGCTAAATACTTTTGAATGTTTAAGAGATACGTAAACAGATATAAAGCCATGTGTCTGGATAAATACACAGAAAGGAAAGATACAGCTAATAACTCAAGAGAATAATCCTATAAAACTAAAGCTTAAAATACTACCCATAATATAATCTTCCCTAAATGAAAGAATGCCGAAGCGGTAAGTAATCGGAGTCCATCTGTTGTTTCAAGCGAACGCAGCGAATGAGTTCATTTTTATTGTGTAGACCTATTTAAGCATGAATTAAATTAATTTAATGTGAGATTGACAACTGGAAAACGAATAAACAGGACATGATCTATAGCAATACCTAGATAATTATCAACGATTCTATGCTACTATGAACGATGCTACACTACTGAGCTTGATAACTGTGTATTAGCCCGAATCATCATCTTCAAGAGTTCAGTGTTAAGCAGGTACTGCTCTGACTAAAAATATGAAGGCTTAGTCTAAGGGGGCGGGAGCTAGAGCTCATCGCATTATTCTGACGAAACATTATTTGACTAACTCAAATAATCGGTCAAAAATATAGCTCTGGTCATTGCAATTATAGGCCTTTAGGTCCATTCAACTTTCTGTGGTCCAAAGTTAAATGACGACCCCCTTGAATTACAAAACGTCTCTTGCCCTCATTTGCCCTTTGGCCGGCATGAGTTGTAGTGCAGTAAAGAAGTTAAGTGAAATAACCGAACAATTGCACAGGAAAAGCAAAGAACGTCCTTAAAGGGTTAGTTCACCCAAAAATGAAAATTCTGTCATTAATTACTCACCCTCATGTCGTTTCAAACCCGTAAAACCTTCGTTCATCTTCGGAACACAAATTAAGATATGTTTACAGATCTCCTTGCCACGTTTCTGGACTTGGGAACATTTCAGTTGCGTTGTCTTAGCCACGCCTGGAAATTAATGTCACAAAATATATTAAGCGCGTTCACATTTAAACAGACAAACAATAGGCCTAGAGTGGAAAGTAAAGAAACCGTAGCCTGTCTGACTGCCGACTGTGAAACCTAAAAAAAATCGTAAATCTGTCCGGCGGTACAGCATACTCACTCACATGTGTGCTCGTGTACGAAAGGGAGAGTAAGAGAGAGAGGCAGAAAGAAAGAAAGACGAAGCAGAAAGGAGGGGGGATAAAGCTTGCAGAAAGAAATAACTGGAAATCTATATTGCTAGCAGTAAAACTTGTGATTTTTAAATGCGTTTTATACAT